GGGGGCGGGCCCGAGTTTTCCCAGCGTTCCGGGTGGTGGTCGGGCAGTGGCGGCGTGTGCAGACTTCCGCTGGTGCTCGCGGCCGTCATGGCGCTGCGCGGGATCTGCGTGGTGGAGCTGGCGGGCCTGGCCCCGGGCCCGCTCTGCGGCATGATCCTGGCCGACTTCGGGGCGCAAGTGGTACGCGTGGACCGGCCCGGCGGCCAAGGGGACGTGAGCCATCTGTCCCGGGGCAAGCGCTCTGTGCTCGTGGACCTGAAGCAGCCGCAGGGCGCGACGGTGGTGCAGCGCCTGTGCTCCCGGGCCGACGTGCTGCTGGAGCCCTTCCGCCGGGGTGAGGCCGGCCGACGGGGGGCTGTGCCGAGGGCAGGGGCAGGGGCAGGGGCCCGACCGGTCCAGTCCACCGGGCTGCGCGCACCACCTTTTGCCCGCCCTCCCTGTCATGTAGATCGTTGTGTTGCATTGCTAGTGTTCATGGATTCTGAGATACTTCCCTTGCTGTGGTTCCTCTTAGGTCTGATTCCTGATACGCACACCCCTCCCCCGCCTCTCTGTGCTTGTCTCTTTGGGTTATTTGTAGGTCATGAACCCTGTGAGACTCAGGGAAGCCAAAGATTCCGTCCCCGCAAAACTTAGATCCGTGTGACAACCGCTCTCAGTGGGTTGTTAGGCTCTCTGAAACCATCCCGACTCAGGATCAACCGTGTGTAGTGTTTGTTAGGTACCTTAGAGTGGGCTCCCTCAGGAGAAAGATGAGGCACTGTTCCACCAAAGTGTCACAGCCCCGGACATGCTCAAAAGAGCACAGTCAGATAAACAAAAAACCCTTCAAATTCAAGTGACATCGAGTCAATTCTAACTCTCAGTGACCCAACAGGCTAGAGTAGAACTACCCTTGTGGGTTTCTAAGATTGCCTCATTTTTCACCTTAGGAGCAACTGGCTGTTTCGAACTGCTGCCTTTGCATTTAGCAGCCTAACTCCTTACTTCATCACCGAAGGGTCACTATGTAAGAACCAGAGTCCAGTTGATGGCAGTGGGTTGGTTTGGTTTGGGGCTACTTTACAAAGCTAACTACTAGCTTTCGATGTCGGATCTCAAGTTCTAGCCTCAGCCTGTCTCGTGGACACGCTGTCTGTGGAGCCACCTTCAGCACTTCCCTCATACTTGAGACCCAAACAAAGCTTTGAAAGCTGCTGGTGGCTGTTCCACCTTGCAGTCCGCCCTGCACTTCAACTCCCACAGAACCTAATCCTAAACCAAGCCCGTCTTCTCTCCTAAAACAGTGACGGCTGGATTCTTTCAGTGAATGGAACCCAGTTGCCTGAGCTGCATCCTCAAACTCCAATCTCACCAGTTTACTACCCTTGACCTCAGGGATGCAGTTATTCCTCCTCCAGATCCTGCCTCAGGACACTTCCTCTGCATACCTGAGGCAATTGCCATGACATAGGTGTGGAACACTTTTTTAAAAACTGGCCTCTCTTCATGGCACCACTCC